AAATAAAAAAATATATACACACACACACACACACACACACATATATACACATATACACATATACACACACACACACACACACACACACACTATATACACATATATATACACTTTTTTTTAACATACAGGTATAACAGAATAGCTTTAGTGTAGTTGTTGTTTTAAACTTGAGTATGAACTTGTACAAATTGCAGCAAGATATTAAAAAAAAAACAAAACAGTTTTGTTGATTAAAAAACACTATATCGGATTCATATCGGTATCGGCAGATATCCAAATTTATGATATCGGTATCGGACATAAAAAAGTGGTATCGTGCCATCTCTAAAACAAACGTCAGGACAAAACGTTCTGGTTTAATTAGAAGCAGACAAACTTGTACTTAAGGACCAGGAAAGATCAAAACGTACACACACCCAGACACACACACACAATAACTAGCAAAGCTTACTGCAGGGTTCATATGGACACATGTCTAATGTTTAAAGACCACTGGGAAAATATGAACAAATGTAAGGTAAAGATGCAGAGATGAATAATGAAACCAGTAACTTCTTAAATCTCTACAGGATGTTGAAGATATCAGGACAAATCAGCTGCTGTGTGGCTCTCCTCCTGACCCTCTCCTCTGTGTCAGCTGTAAGACGAGCGCTCAATTCAATCAGTGACCTGAAGACGGTAGGCTTTGGCCAGTCTGTGCCTGAGTACAGCCTCCGTTTGCTCCACTGGTTTGCCAATGAAATTGACATTAACAACAATGATGATATCCTGCTGACCTTTGACCCAAACAGTGGTGATTATGGCTCACATTATTATCGCAACGATGAAGAGCTGTTAGACCCACTGCCAAGGGGATACCGATACTACACTGTTGGTAATAGCTACCAAGATGCATCTCTGGAACTTCCAGATTATGTCGCGGAGTCTGACATTGAGGACAGTAACAGGGTTCGCATTATAATTAGAGTCAGGCAGCAGAATGCAGCACGGATAATAGACCAAGTCTATATCACACAGCATTATGAGACATATGAAGATCAAGGGACAGATTATGATCCACAACATACATATCCAGTCACCGTCTGCCTCCTAAGAGCGATCAGAAAGTTTTCCTTGGACCGCAATAACATCAACTCAATGAGGTCTCTCAGAGACCACTTTGGAAGCAGTGCTGATGATTCCCAGCTATGGGAAATTATGGATATCTGGGATGAGCTTGCTTGTCTTGGACTGTTTTTGTTTATTGTGATCCCAGAAAAGTATTCCTCTCACAAACACAACAGCAGACGTCAGCCAGCACCAAGAAGGAACACACAACCTGATTTTGAGAGCAGGCAAAATGTCACTTCTGGGATGTCTGCAAAAAATCAAGTGGATCATAGAAATGGGATAAAACTGAAGGTGACAACAGGCAAAAGTGGAAACGCCAGAATTATTTGGAGCAATGTTCATAGTGACCTTCTTAAACGAAATGTGATGGTGGCACTTTACCAGAATAATCAGGAAGAGAAAGCCCTGACTTCTAAATGTATTGAGAACATATCGTCAGGCAGTTATGATACATCAGTACCCCTGAATGAAGGCCTTCAGGTACGACTGCATGAGGTTAGGACTCGATTTTTCTTCTGGATTTCAGTAGGACAGGAGATAGACAGAGGCAGTGAGTTTAAAACCCCCAAAGCTGTGAATATAACAGGATACAATGCAAACCTGCAACTCTTTGCAAATGACGGCAAGGCTTGTGCTCGCTTAACAGTGACAAAGTCTTTCCATAACTGGAAGTCTGAATTTAAAAACGCATGGGTAGGTTTCTATAGCTCTGAAAATAATGCCACAAAAAACTATGAACGGTGGCAATGGCAATGGGCAACAAAATTCAAAGAAAACAAGTCTCAGGACAATTATAATGTATACGAGTACGAGTCAGGTATGACAATTGCCCCGGGAGTGCAAGCACGCTTCATACTGCAGGATGAAATAGAGAAAGCAAGAACCTCACCCTGGGCTGAATGAAGAAATTTACTCCTTTAAATACTGATTGAATAATGATTTTTAAAAAGCCAAAGAAAGAAAGTAGAGACAAGTGTTAGCAGCAGATTTTAATTTCAGGTCATTACCAGCCTCTTAAGAGTGATCAGAAAGGTTTCTAGAGACCACTTTTGAAGAAACAATCATGATTACCAGCTATGGGACATTATAAACATATGGTTGTTGTTTATTGTTGTCAAGAGGCCTGGCCCTATACTATGAAGCAAACCCAGAGTATCTTTCAATTACCTGGATTCAATGGTGATCAGGATACAGTCATACGAAGCTGTTTATCAACTTGCCAAGTTAACTCCCAGCTTCTTTCACATGAAAAGGGTGGTCTTAGCATCTGATTGATCTCAAAGGAGCATTTCATGGATCATATACACAAAATGATCCCTACGCAACCTAAACCAGACATTATCAAATGGTGATTAAAAATCTGTAAACATAGTAACATTGAAAAAATAAATAAAATAAAATTGTATAAATGTTTTTATACTTCACTTTAAATGCTGCTAAATCTTATAATACAGCCACTGGGACACAAAAAGAAAAACACCAAGAATACCTATTCAACAAATCAAAGTCACTTTGATCTGCAGACAAACTGAAGTCATTTCAACATCTCCTTTATTAGCCTGTGGGACAGTAAGTTTTAATGTTCAAATGCATCTACAGCTGTAATGTGCATCCATCACCTTAGAAATAATCAACAGCACAGAGCATGCACTCAGCCATAAAATAATTAATGTGAATTAAAATGTTTACTTTACCACTCAATGCACTAAGTCACAAGATTAATGAGTTTCTCTCATCCTTTTTGCAACAGCATTTTACAGTTTATGTTCTTTGCATAATTTTGATCAACATTTATCATCATCTGATAAGGTCTGTGATAGCAACACTCGTAGGGATCATTTTGTGTGGAGGACGAGTCATATGACCCGTGAAACACCCCTTTTAGATTGGTGTTGGCAGCATCTGACCAACCGTTTTATGTGAACATGCAGGGGAAACCCTGGAGTTAATGAGTTGATAAATAGCTTCGTGTAACTGTTTATTCAATTGCTGATGTTAGAGTAAGTAAATCCAAATAACAGAAAGATACCCTGGGTGTGTAGAACTTGCTTCATAGTACAGGCCTCTGAAAAGCTACAACTCTAACCTAAATAACCTATTGCAGGCTGCAACACAAGGAAACAACACAACCATGAGATAGCACCTTTGGAATCAGGGCTTCTCCAACATATGTGTGCAAGGACTAATTTAACTAAAATCAACATCAGCACATAGTTTAAATCGAGCTTCTCTGTTAGAATTGACTGTTACCGACTACAGAATCCTGTTACATCATTATTCTTACTTGCTGTCTTGATACACTACTAGCAAGTTTTTACTTTTTTCAGCACCTTAGCTCCTGAACGTTTTTTCCTGGTATTTCTTCTGCATCAGTGAAGACTGTATTTTTCAAAAAGGACAAATTCAGATAGTGAGGCCATTAGTAATTATTGGCCTATTTCAAATCTTCCATTTATTGGCAAGATTACGTATTACGATTAAGTAACTGCTTGAAAACAAATTTCTACTATGAAATTTTCCAATCAGGATTTCATCAATGTCACATCACATAAACTGCTCTCATTAAAAAGGTGTTCAATGATATTTACTATCATTGTTTACCTGTTTTACACTATATTTACATATGTTTTTAAATCGGTGTTATATATTTTTTTAACATTTTTAAATTTTAATCATACTTTTCTGTTCATTCATCAATTCATTTTTAATACATATATTTTCTTCAAAAATAAAGTTATTTTAATCCAATTTCGTAAAATACTTTGAATGACTGTTGAGTAAACGCTGATATTTAAACACATTAGCACACTGCCTTGCCTTCAAACCAGTACATAACACAAAGAGACACAACATGCTCTAGATATCAACTGAACCAAGCTATAGTCGCCTTGCTGTTCACCAAGAAAAGGCCCCGACCACCAGCAGGATGTTTAATTAAACATGGAAACAAAAATCCAGCAGGAGTTGTTACATTGTACGCTTTGCAGCCATCTATTTAATTTTACTTTGTGCTGTATGGATTTGCTTCCTAAATCTTGCATAGAATGCTTGTAATGAAATGTTTGGGATTTCTAAATATCTTTTTAGCATTTGAACTACATAAAATTGTGCTTACTGTGTATGATGTAGTTGCTCGCCACAGATTTGTAAGAAAAAAGGACAATTGCTCTGATCGATGAATCTTGAATAAGACATGCATTTTATAGATGTTTTTTGTATTTCTTCTGTCATCTTGAAAAGTGTGTGTTCATTAAACCATTTTTTCAAGTGTGCAATGGTTATTTTGTGATGTGTCATAACCAACTTTAGAAACACAAACAAGCAGATGCGTAGAATGTAAGGCTCATCAGTGCCTACTCTATATGACCAGGCTCTGGCTGCTGGACTGGGGTCAGCATAGAGTCAACTTTATGATCACGATGTGTTATTGGCTAGCTGTGTGTTATCATGTCATCTGTTCAGATGCTTGCAAAGAGCTGATGATGTGTTAATAGCATAATGCGATTGTTTCTGACATGGGTGCAGTTTACCCTGTGGTGTATGAAATGCATGTCTGTTCCATTTTGCTTCTCAAACACACGAAATGAATTCACATCCATTTCTTTTATCCGCTCTATCCATTCAATATGCAGATAACTGAAGAACTTTTGCAACGCAAGTAAAGACAACATTGTAAATGTAATATAATTACTGAGCTAAGTGTATTAACCCGTACCTGCCTTGAAGCAGAAGTGTCATTATGTTTGTGTTAGATATATTATATTCTCTCAAACATAAACTAAACAAATTAAAAAAAAAAAAAAAAAAAAAAAAGACAAAACAGTGTCCCGGTGACCTACTGACCTAAAAACAATGTATGATTCACTTGCTTTAAATCCTTCTGGGATTTCGTTCGTTGCACGTCTTCCATGTTTCACAACATAGTGAATAACAAATAGCAGGTAACCAAGTGACTCTTTCTGTTGCCTAATGATGGCAAACGACCAAAAAAGAAGAAGAAGAAAAAAAAAAAAGAGAAGTCAAGTGTTTGAGGCTAGTATTCCACATACACATACATATATTAAAAAAGTGAATAAATATTAAGACACTGACGTGCAAGTATTTCAATCCACTCTAGGCGGTCAAGAGTTGTGACACATGCATAGAAAAGTACTTACAAAGACCTGATAGACTTGATAAGGCTTCAGGCAATACTGACTAATATTTAACCAAATTTGTCTCAGTCGCTCTCCCAACAGTCACACACTTCATCCTAAACCTGCTCTTAAAAATGACAAATAATCAGTGTTTGTATCTAGAAGCGTGGCTGTAAACCCAGCTAAAATGCTGAAACAGTATTCTGTTGCTCGCTATTACAGGAGGTGGTTTCATGCAGACAACTTCCTGTTAGTACCAGCCTTGCTGGCTGCTTTGGTTTCATTTACACGGAAACAGCAACCTAAAGGGAGTTACCTCTGCTCCTACACAAACAAAGAGCTCAGACACATGACAGCAACAGACTAACGCAGGTAAGTCCTCTTACTTTTTGGTGGGATTTTGAATGAATTTGTGACTGATTAACTCTAGATTTTATTTGTGAAGGCTTCTCTGCTTCTCACGTTATTTTAGTATTGTATGTAGTAAGGTACAAAAATTGAACATTGACAGTCTTTTGTAGCATTATGTACTTCTAATATATCCTTTATCATAAAAGACAACCACACAATTAATATTTACCTCACTTTCTACAGCTTTATTGACCCACAGAATCATTTTCTCTATTTGAAGCAGGATGTTATGCAATTCACCGGTTCTAATGGTCTTTATTACACTGATAGTCTACAGAGCACTTTGTAGCAGCTTGTGTTGTGGATCATTTATTCATTTGACAAAGACAGTTATCATAAACATTGCATGAGGAACACTGTCATTAGAATTGTAGCAAACAGCCAAGTATGTTCAGTATTAAAAATAATACAGACATTGGTGTTAATGTTTTCAAATTCATGTTTGTAAAAAAAAATAAAAAATTTCAGGTTTACTCATGCAGTTAAATTCAATAATTCCAGTAGTTCATGAGCCCACATATAAAGCTTGGTTCAAAACTTTCTGGCTTAATTTTTAAAAAAAAGCAAAAGCAAAAACAGAATTTGTACTCAATGACGAGCCAGGAAAGCGCACTCCTGTTGTTTAACCAAATGATCTGGCTCATGAAAAACACACTGAGACACGATCCTCATGTTAACCTAAGTCAACACTGCATTATGGGATTAGCCAAAGGAAAGATAACTGGCAAAACCTGTTTCACTGTTTATATGAACATGTCTAATGTTTAAAGACCACCAGGAAAAAGATCATCAAAATATGAACAAGTGTAAGGTGAGGATGTAGAGTCTAGATGAATAATGAAACCACCAACTCTTAAATCTCTCTACAGGATGTTGAAGACAGGAAGAATCACGAGCTGCTGTGTGGCTCTCCTCCTGACCCTAACCTCTGTGTTAGCTGGAAAACGGGCACTGAATTCAATCAGTGATCTAAAGTCAATCGACTTTGGACAAACGGTGCCCAAACACAGCCTCCTGTTGCTCCACTGGTTTGCTAATGAAATTGACATCGACAACAACAACATCATCCTGCTGACCTTTGAGCCAAATAGTGGAGACTTCGGCTCACATCATTACGGAAACTACGAGAGGGTGTTAGACCCACTGCCGAGGGGATACCGATACTACACTGTTGGCAACATCAATCAACAAACATCGCTGCCAATGCCATATTATGTCATCCACCCACGGGCGGAGTACCCAGCGAGAAACAGGGACAGGATCATATTCAGGGTCAGAGAGCAGAACGTGGGACGCCAAACTTCACAAAGGATCGATCAAGTGTATATCACACAGCATTATGAGCAATCTGAAAATCAGGGCACGAGGTATAATCCAGAGCATACATATCAGGTGACTACCAATCTGCTGACGGAGATCAGAGAGTTTTCTGTGGAAGAAAATGACATGAGCTCACTGACGTATCTCAGAGACCGCTTTGGAAGCAGTGCTGATGATTCCCAACTATGGCAGATAAGAAACACATGGGGTGAGCTTGCTTGTCTTGGGCTGTTTTTGTTTATTGTGATCCAGGAGAAATATTCCACTCACAAACGCAACAACAGACCTCAGCCAGCACCAAGAAGGAACACACAAACTGATTTTGTGATCAATATCCCAGAGAGCAGGCATAATAATCCTGTTGGAATGTTTGCACAAATTCAAGTGGATCATAGAGATGAGATAAGACTGAAGGTGACAACTGGAAAAAAGGGAAATGCCAGAATTATTTGGAGCGATGTTCCTAGACATCTTCTTAAAGAAGGTGTGATGGTGGCACTTTACAAGAATGATCAGGAAGAGGACGCTCTCACTTATAAATCTATTGGGAACAGAGAGTCGGGCATTTATGATACATCAGTACCCCTGAATGAAGGCCTTCAAGCACGACTGCATGAGGTCAGGACTGTATGTTGCTTCTGGAAATCATTAGGAGATGAGATAGACAGAGGCAGTGAGTTTAAAAACCCCAGGGCTGTGAAAATACCAGGTTATGATGCTAACCTGCAACTCTTTGCAAAAGACGGCAAGGCTTGCGCTCGCTTAATAGTAAATGAGTCTTTCCATAACTGGACGTCTGAATTTAAAAAGGCATGGGTAGGCTTCTATAGTTCTGAAAATAAAGCCACAAAAAACCATGAATGGTGGCAGTGGCAGTGGGCAACAAAATTCAAAGAAAACACTGATTTTCAGGACATGTTTTATGATATGTATGAGTACAAGTCAGGTATGACAATCGCCCCAGGAGTGCAAGCACGCTTCATTATGCAGGATGAAATTGAGAAAGCAAGAACCTCACCCTGGGGGGAATAAAGATATTGAAACAAAATTTAAGATAGAAATATTAAATTAACCTGTACATACGCCCTTTCAAATAATAGCTGAATGATTTTTATTAAATAAAAAAAGGCAAAATAAGATACCAGACTAGTGATGTCCGTACTGTATATTTAAAGGTAGATTTTTAGTAAAAACAATCATATAGTAGTAGATGTAAAGGTATTTCAGGTCCTTCATCTCTATGCTGTATTCTGCTGAAAACAGACATGAGCCTGTAAGAGCTCATTGCAGAGATACTGGTACTAATGTGCTGTACTTCATGTGGCCAGAAGTTTTTGTAAAGCAGTGATGAACTGGGTTTGAGTCAATCAGAAACAATGTATTCATCAGCCCATAATCACAGAGCAGTGTTAAATGTCCATTTATGGAAAAAGGAAGAAATCCATGGGATCAGTGTTAATTTTTTATATGTATGTAACGAGATTAATGTGACTGATTTTTTTTTTTACCTAATGGAAAACGGACACAATGGCTTCTGTGCGTCTCCAAAAGATTTGCTGGTGTGTGCGACATTTTGCCTCTACATTTTGAATGTATTCTGTGTTTGTATTATTTTTTCTTCCTTTATCGAAAATGCTTTTTGTAAAGACTGATTTCAACTGTGTATGACATGCTTATGTTGATGACCCCTTTACAGCAATGTGGCACTAAGGTTTGACTCTTGAGGGTTCAAGCTAAAATCCTGCAGACCTCGCCTATACGGAGACATGCCGCAGACTGGCCTGGATATCACCTGCTGGGATTAAAGGTCCTAGTGTGTAAATGCATTTTAAAAAACTGTACAAAGTCTTCTGTAACGGCCTTATCGTTCATGATAAAGTGCTGCCCTGCAAAGGCTTTTCAATGCTCCAGCATATCTAGTCAAACAAGCCGCACCTCTGTCTCAGCTGTTTGCACAAGATTGCAAAAATATGAATTGCCTGAATGAATAAATGTCATGTGTGTTAAGCTGTAAGTGGGTCTAAAGTTTAATGAAGAACATCTTGTGAAAAAGACTCAAAAATTGTGTTTGTTAAACCGAAGTTTTTTTCTAAAAGTTAGATGTGCATAATTACAGAGACAGGTGTTTCTCTTTTTTCTAATCACAAGACGTTTTTGGGGGGTCAGGGATAAATCCTTTCCATCCCTTGTGACATGCACAAGTCGTCGTTTCTAGCCAAGTCCCAGGCAGAACTATCAAAAGGCCTTTATGCTTGAGTGAAAGAGATAAATACTGTTTTAATGCGGTGAAAAGAGGATAGCACTCAGAGGGCCAACACAAGACCCAAAAGATCATAAGATAATGACTCATCATTAAAAGTGTTGCAGGCTCAGCTTTGCAAAAATAGTAGTACAAAGAACTCTCTAGTGGACAGACCAGAGCCAAGTTTTAATGACAAACAGACACTTATTTGTTCCGTCTCTAAAAGTCTGAAAGCTGACACATTTGATCAGCTACTTCCACCATTTTGTAAGAAGAAAGCAGAAGAGCATCAATTTCTGCTATGACTTGAGGTGATTCAGATTAGGAAGAATCAGTAATCGATTAATGACACCTAATCCATGCACATTCGTTAATTTAGTTTTGCTAACAACATTAACAGGTTTCATTTTTGTAAATGAAATTATGCAAATTCAAAACGTATAGGTGTTTATATAAAATATATACAACACAGACACACAGACACACACAGACACACACAAGCAACAAAAAAAAACCACCCAATATCCAAAAATAAAGCTGCTGTGGATTCGCTTTCATACTTCCTCTTTGTACATCCTTTCAACCACATTACATAAAACTAAACACATAATAAAGCAAAAACTGCCTAATGTGTCATTACTGTCCTAAATTCACGCCCCAGTGCATTCTTTAATGCACTGGGGCATTCTTTAAGCAACCTTAAAATCAGCAAATATAACAAATTTTATATTTTATTTAGGTCGACACAATATTAGTGCCTTAAAACATGCATCCAAAACAGCTTTTTTTGTAAATTAACAGTTGTGTAAAAATCCTAATACGGTATTGCTATTTTTTCAATATGTTTTTATGTGCTGTTTGTGCAGAGAAATTAAACTAATTCACCTCAAGCTGCTTGCTGAAGTGCAAGCTGTTAAGCTCAATGCTACACAATGAATGTGTGACGTGCAGCCAGGACATGGAGATATCTATATTTCTACAATGTTTCTATTTTAGATTTTTTGGGGGAAGATCTAAATGTCAATCATAACAAACGAATGCATCCAGCCAAATAAAACAATAACTTGCCCTGTTTTTTTTAAATGCCGAATTGCATCACGCCACGGTATGACATACTTAATTCTGGCCTAAAAATGGCTTTGTGAACCACAGGTTATTAACTTATTTTTAAACACCTGTACTACGAAGTTTTTGACTACTTAAGTTTAATTTAAAATGACCTGTGGTAGTGTGAATGAGCTGGACTGAGGTTGCCTTTAAAAAGCAGAGGATGGCCTGAGAAAAGCAAAAAAAATGTAGCAGGAAATGCAAGTAAATCAATGGCAGGAGGCAAGACACAGCAGACAATCTAAAATAGTAGATTATATAAGAGCATATAACAGAATATCTTCAAACTTTTCTTGTGCTTTTTCTCCTTTCAAACTTTCTAGTATTTATGCATAATCTGATGTGAAAATTCTTCTCATTAGGTTAATGCATTTTAAAAGACACTTATACAAACTCGCTGCTGTCAGAGTGAGGCATCCAAAGAAGACCGGAGGCACAAAAAATAAATAAATAAATGAATAAATAAAAATGAATGGTGTAAAATTTAAAATACACCAAATGTTATATGCACTGATTAAAATTGTTACTTAACCACTTATAATTTTTAAATAATGCTATTTATCATTTTTTAAAGCAAAAAGACAGGAAATACCAGTGGTGATATTATTTTGTTGTTTGTATGCATCACAGTGGCTAAACTAATGTATGACAATCACAGAGCAGCAGGTTTAAAGGGATTTCAAGCCTTGGTCTTCCATCGTTTTCTTCTCTGAGAAACAGACCAATAAATCAACATCCTATATAAGGTCTACGCAGCTGTGTGCTGTATGTCAACAGCAAGAAATTGCAGTAAAGTAAGGAGAAACTGGCTTTGAGCCATATAGAAAATGAATTTGCATGCAATAGTTAGTTAATCATAGAGCTCCAACAGGTTTTAAATTGTTAAATATCAATTTATGTCGCAAAACCTCTAACAGATCCGTGTAAAGATACTTCTGTGGTTTGTTTATGGCTGCAGGCATCATCATCAACAGATAAATGTGATATTTAAACTTAGAATCAGTATCCCCCTCAAAAACACATTACTGAGGGGTGCATTGTTTTGCATCCACAGTTTGAATTCTATTGCATTTATGTGCATTTCTTTTTTCTTACACAGTCCTTCCACATGAAACACATACTCACTGTATTTTCTTTTGCGCTATATAAGCAGCAGATACAAATTTATAGGACAGACTCTGTATTGCCTTGCCTTGAACTGTGATCATCCCTTTGTCCATGTAAAGATGCCTGCATTGACAATAAAAAAAGAAATCTTATGAACTGCCCCTTTACATTGAGCTGTTTGTGAATCAGGGAGCAAAGCATACATGCTGAACACACTTCCACTACATACAGAGTTTCTTTAGATTACTATTTCAAATTTTAAGTCCTGCAAATGTGTTAGCAAACCCACTTCCTGTCAAGTTTTCCATAGCAGCTGGTTCTCTGAAAAGGTGCCTACTGTTGTTGTGGCAATCCTCGCTATCATTCATTAATATGCACGGTGAGAGCAGCTGACTAATTTCCCAGATATTTTTCATAACGCCCTTTGCAAATAAAACTTGCAGGAGAAACTGCATGCAAACAGACATCCCAACCCACAAACTGAATCTAAATCTGGAAATACTGCAATTCTTTTTTTCATATTAAGTTTATGCAAAACAAAGCCTATTTGACTGACTCTGCAATATGTATCGCAGCATCCATGACAAAACAAATCAAGGTCAAGGCCAGGAACAGGAAACTGAGCTATGTACACAATGAGTGTGCATGTGTGTGTCTCTCTGTGGGTAAACATGAGATCACATCCTGCTTGAGACTGAATACAGCTGCTCATCGTTACAGGCGACAAATCAGCCGACACAAAGCATGTCATTACTACCTCCTGTGCTCTCGAACAGCCACCACAAAACTTCTTATCACCTATCAGCATGTCCATCAGTCACTCTCCCCTGGGCGTGAGGCATTCTTAACCCTCGTCATCCACACAAGGATGAATGTATGCGCTCATGGCATGTACATACATGAGCTGACACCCGAAGGTGAGTACGTCCCACTTCATATAAATCAGAAGAGGCTTTAAGTAATAATCTAATGGGTCTCAGAAAAAACACTGACACCCAACTGGATGCAGACCCTGACATAGGCGGCAACAGAAGTAAACAAACTGAAAACATTCCCCTTTTCCCCTTCCAAAATAAGTCAAAATATTTACCAACAAAAACAAATGCTTGGCCTGCATCAAAGCTGTGTGGAGTTGTTGAGAAAATGGTAATTAAAATCTGGTTTTGGGCACGATGTTGAACCAGTGTGGTCTAACTGTTTAGATTTATTTCCAAATGACGGGATGCCAAAGTGGGCTTTTCTCATATTGTTTTCTCCCTGCAGACAAACTACAGGAAGCACATCGTCTCTATCCACGCTTCACATCTCCATGCATTTGGCTCTCTCTTTCCTTCTTGTCCACAAACTCTAGACTCTTTCTCCGCCTCCTATCTGCTCACTGCTGGAAGCTTCCCAAGCTTCTTGCAGGGCCTCCCACCACATGCATGGCTGAGCAGGAAGTGTGTAATCTGAGCCAAATGTGGCAGAAGCTGAGATCTAATCCTCTCCCGTTTCCTTGCTTATTTTACATAATTAGAATGCACATGTGCTCAATGATACAACAATGCTGGTATCTAAGAAACAAAAGTTTTAAAGGTCTTTTATATCTTTAGGTAGAAGGACAACCAAAATAAATCTCTAGCTGCCTGCAAGGGAAAAACAGTGGACAGAGTCAAAAACAGGCGAGACACCATGTTAAAAAGTGGAAATTGGAGGCTTTCTATTTTTATGTAAAATGTTTTATGACCTCCAGATTTGGAATGTACCACCTCCCAGCCGCCTACGCCTGCATGCTACTTAAGCAGTGACAGCAACCTATGAGCACAGCTGTCTCCAGATAGCAAAGGCACACACACACACATACCAGTATAGCGATGCGCTGTTTTAGTTAGACAAGATAGGAAAGCAAACAACCAAAATAAGCGATAAACTGAAAAACAAAAAACGTCCTGCACAAATACACATGCTTTCTTCCATTTAAACCAAGAGCCAAGAAGAATATTAAAACTAAAAAACTAAAAAAAACCCAAAGCATACAATG